CCACTCCCAATCTATTGCTGCCTCCGGAGTCCCAGCTAATGGCTAGAGAGGAAAAAAACTTTAAATTCTTGCCGCGGGGCTTCAAAGAGCCGCCCTACTCTCAGCTGTTTTGCGGAGGGCTCTGTTGCTAGCTAACTGCAAAGAGGTAAATTCCTGGACCAGATTTTTCCCCCCCTAGCTATGCTGAGAAAGGGAAATTGAAAGTAAGCAGGATCTTGGCTGCAACGTGACAAAATGAGGCAGAGAGATTTCTTTTTCCTCACCAAAAAAGGTAGGTGCAAACTGCAAACAATGGGAAATTTCGGCAAGAGGAGGTTCAAGATTTTAAAACACAGAAGAAAAAAAGCTCTATTTAACTAGGGAATTGTAATAATTGAGATACTATTAATTGTATATTGTGTTGAAAGCAGAAATGGTTAAGTTGTGGTTTGGAGGAATATATGGGGGAAATTATTTGGTTTATTATTATTGGTAAATATAATTAATTGATTTGTAAGAAATTGGATTGCATGGAAATAATTGGAATATTCATGTTCATATTTATTAATATACAAAAAAGGTAGCTATATAACTAATTGATTTATATTAAAATGTTGAATTTGTATTAAACAACTGTAATATTACATAATTAACCAATGTGAGGATGGATATAAAAATAGATGACAATGGGAAGGGGTATAATATAGAATAGAAGGGAAAAATTGAATTTGATTAAGATTAGAGATGAGGATGAAGGGTAATATTGGTTTTTTTAAAAATAGATGAGGAATAAATATGGTAAAAAGGAAATATAAAAATTGTAAATTTAATTGAAATGACTAAATACTGTGTTGGAAGAAATATCCTTCTGGGTTCTGCTCCAAGTGGGGAAAAAGACACTGGAAACATGGAGACTGCTTGGAAAGATAGTTTAATGGTGGACAGGATCACATGGCTTGATGGGGCCCATTGTGTTAGTTTCTGTTGCTATTGTGTTGCAAATGTCCTTTGACAAAGGACTGACTTTCTGCCTCTGGCTCATTAACAAAGGGTGGGGGGCAGGAAGGTGGGAGTTGCTTTGTCTGTAAAATATGCTTCTCCATTTCTCATCCAGGTAGGGAAATATAATATTCTGCCTTTTTAATATTTCCCAAAATATTTCATTCTTCTAGGAAAGGGGTGGATGCTAACCTCCTACAACTGTTTAAATTTGTGAACCAGCCAAATACTCTGTTCAAAGAAAATACGTTGTATGTTTGTATGTGTGTTTCTAATTATTGCTATTTATTGCTATTTGTTCTCTTTTATTCTTTAAAGTTTAACAATTCATTCTTTATCTTAATATCTTAATATTTGTTTGGGGTTGGCTTTCTTCCCTTTCATCTTTTTTATTGTACAGCAATCTTTCTCCTCAAACCTACCACCTCTCTCTTTTCTTTTCTTCTTACTTTCTCTTCCTCCCCTTCTTCTTCTCCTCCCTACTTCCTCTTCCTTTCTCCTTCTCCTCCTCTCTTCCTCCCTCTCTTACCCTCACTCCTACTCTAATTTCCCTTCCCTTCCTTCATCCCTCTCTATTGCTGTATCCTTTTATGCATATGGACTACTCAAAGGGCTGAAAAAGTTATTTTTGACTGGTCCTCGCACTTTTGACCAGTCCTCGAATTTACAACTGTCCTCACATTTTACGTTTTTTGCCCTATCTTATACCATGTTGAAGAGAAGCAGTTGTGAAATGAGTGACATGGTTGTTAAGAATGCTGCACAGGCATAAATGTGAGGATGGTCATAAGTGTGAGGACCAGTCAAAAGTGCGAGGACCTGTCAGAAATGACTTTTTTCAGCCCTCTGAGTAGTCCCTATACATATAGCCATGGCCACCCGGTCACATGACCTCCAAGCCACACCCACAAAATAAGCCACGCCCACAGAACCGGTAGTAAAAAAATTTAGAACCCACCCCTGGTTGGGGGTCACCACAACATGAGGAACTGTATTAAAGGGTCGCGGCATTAGGAAGGTTGAGAACCACTGCTCTAGAAGATGGGCAGGCCCATCTCTATAGCATTCTATTATTATTTATTATACAAATTTTTATCTGGTATCTTACTATAAACTGCTGTGAAGATTTGAAAAGATTCAGTATTACTTTGTAAATTTAGTAAATACATAATTTGTATGGTTACCTACACTGTTGTTGCTGTAAAAAGTTCAAATTTGGGCTAGCCAGTTTCGGGGAACATGTATTGAGAGGATTGCCCTAACCCCGTGATGGCGAATCTATGGCACGCGTGCCACAGGTGGCACACATAGCCATATCAGTGGGCACGCGAGCTCATTTTCAGAGCTTCTGGGCCCACCAGAAGTAGGGAAACAGGCTGTTTCCTGCTTCCGTAGGGCCTCTGGGGGTGGTGGGGAAGGCCTGTTTTTTGCTGTCCCCAGCCTGCAGAGTGTCTCTAAGAGTCTGGGGAGGGCGAAAACAGCCTTCCCCACTCCCCAGAGGCCAGAAACGGCCTGTTTGCCAACTTCCGGTGGGACCGGAAGGCCTGTTTTTTGCTGTCCCCAGCCTCTAGAGCCTCTCTAGGAGTCTGGGGAGGATGAAAACAGCCCATTTTTGCATAGAATTATGGGTGTGGATACACATGTGCGTGACCCCCCTGCCCCCCCTTCCTGGCACGCGATGGCAAAAAGGGTAGCCATCACTGCCCTAACCCTAACCTGTAACTGAAGATACTCCAAGACACCTTTGTCAGTTGTGACCAAAGAACAAGAGTTTATATTTCCAGCAAACTATAGTTCTTTTAAATCAGCATTAACGATAATTAGATAGCATTCAGAATTTCAACCATATAAGTTTGTTTGTACAGTAACAGTCTAGAATTTACAAAAACCAACTAAGGATCTAATGCTGCCTTATGTGATAAGGTTAAGTAGTAACCTAAACATGTGACTATTACATTATGAGAAGTCCTTAATTTTCATTCTTTCTGGATTCTTCCCCCTAGTTAGGCAACTAACAAACATATATTGAGAATAATATCTTCAAAATAACTCAGTAACTAAATTAAACAAATTAATTGTAAATTTAATAAATAAAAAATAAACTAAAAAACCTGAATATTTTTTAAAAAATTCAGCAGCTATTGAAGTAAATTTTGGTTAATTAGTAGGTAAATAAGTTTATATAAACCTGTAATATTTATAAATGTTTCAACAAGTAAATTTCAGAGATTCCTTTCTTCTAAACAGCATATGTGAAAACATTTTTCCATTAATGCATATTTAAATCATGAATATACTTATGGCACACTGAATATAGATAAATTTACATAGTATTATGTACAATAAATTGATGGTTTTTATACCAAACCATCAGGTGATATAAGTCAGAAACTGTTAACTCTAATAAAGGAAACAACTTATTATACAAGCAGACAATATTGAGTCCAACTGCATTACTGTTTTTACGGAAAATTCCCTTGTTTTTCTGGGAGGTAGTTTACTTCTTTCAGATAACCTAGTGAAATACCCCTTTCTTCGGGAATAGTATAAGACAAACCTCAATAAATTGGAATTTTGCACTGCAGTCTATTAGGAATTCACTCTAAACCATTTTGTATTTGTAAAACATTAATTTATCAAATATTATTTTGCTTCCTATAACCGCTTTAGTACGTTATGTATTATATTACAATACATACTCTTTTCTCTAAGGTATCATTCTTTCCCTTTTTTCACGCCCAAGCAATTACCACTCACAGAAACTCCTTGGGTCAGGCCCTGCATAGATCTGTTTAATAAGTCATAGTAAAATTCTGGTAGTAAGAACATCAAGATAGGAAATACTTATGTACAAGGTCAAGTCTGAACAATTTAGTCAGCAGAAGCTTTTATTTCACCAGACATATTTAGCAATGTCAGGAAAGATGGAACAAGCCTTAACTTAAGAAAGGACACTCGGCCTCAGCTAAGAAAGCCCCTGCGTGGCTAGTTCATTTCTAGACTCTTCAGCTATTGATTGATAAATAAAGAAAAGCTAAGTTTTACCTCAAAGGAAAGGATTGCAGCTCAGCACTGGACACACTGGGTTTCCGGTCCAACCTCTATCATCTTAAGGAGATAGATTTTTCTGAAGACTTCTAGAGAGGTGATTTAGCCATTATATCACTAGCATTCACTCTGTTCAAACCTTAATTGCATCTTTAGATCATTTGGGGCAGCAAGAGGAGGGGAAGCAAATAATTTTGTATTACATATTTATGTTTTAGGATGTGCGCCAACCCTGAGCATCAAACCACCAGTTTAAGGTCAATGACAGTGATTTACAATAATCAAAATAGTTAATAAGTTAACTGACCTGTGATCAAGGATACCACACTCCACCTTTTTCCTCACTCCAACTAAACCTTTCAAAAATCCCATCTTGTATTAGAAAATAACCCCCCAAACACAGACCGCCTTGCTTCTCCAACTATTGCCAAGACCTGTTTGTCAAGATGACACTTGAAAAACCCGTCAGGAAGTAGCTGAGGTGTGACTACCAGTGAAAAATTGAAATTGAGGGAGATAAAAGTGAGGGACGCCAGTAATACCTCAACATAAAGAAGATACTATCAATTTACTCACAATGGAAATGAAGCGAGCTGGTAGGTGAAGCAACCTACAAAAGCATCTCACTTGCACAGACCGATGGTGAATTTGCAAACCGGAGGCAAAAACACATAATTAACATTTATGAGAAAGGATTTGAAGTTTGGTTTTTTTAAGGAACAATTAATAAAGTTATACAGGTTTTACGATGAAAGATGGAAGAGAAGAAGCATGAAATTATCCGCAATGAATGAGAAAAAGTTCCTCCTGTCTTGCTTTAAGGCAACCACATCCCGCGGACTGAAAAACGTTTAAGACCGGGAAAGAGGAACAGATGGTACATCTAAAAAGTTTCCATTAAAATAACAGCGAAAAACAAAAAAAAATCAAAAGGCAGGTAAATTTGGGAGCCGATCCCGGAGTGCAGCGCTTACCTTAGTTTCCTTAACCACACCGTTTTTTTTGTGGATCCCGTGTTTTACGAAGTTATTTTTTTTCTGACGACAGTGTAGGTGTCCATTGGAGAGACCTTTCGGGTGAGCCATTTGCTTTAAACACACACCAGGTTTCTAGTCCCTTAGGAACGCCTCGGTACTTCAAACTTCAAAGCAAAAAACAAAACAAACCCCGATTCCTTCAGAAAGATGTCTAGAAAGATATCCAACTGGTCCGGATGGCTGATCGAGGAAGTGGTTGTTATTTGATTTTAATTTTTTTTTTAATCACGTCGTACAATCTCAACCACTTAAAAGGCAAACTCTTTCCGTAGTCCCAGGGAGCGAAAACGGCAAGACGTGAATTTACTGAAATCGCAAAGCGTAGAGCCCATGCTGTTGCTGAGCGCACCGAGCTGTGTGACTCGAGAGGAATTAGCGAAGCGGCTAAAAAAGGAGGGCGGAGAAGAAGGCGGGAACGCTTCGAGGCAGGCGGGCTGCTTGCTAAAGGACTTAAAATGCGCAAAGCTGACTTAGTTCAGAGCGCTCCGTGCGCCTGTAAATATTTTTACATTGAATCTTAAAGCCTTGCTCTACTTATAGGGCGAGGAATGTGCAGGGAGAAGCCTCCCTTTTCACTCTCTCTCTCTCAGTCAGTACAAAAAGACTGCTTACTTTGAAATTAACTTTCCTCTCCCTCCCCCCCCCCACCCTTCAGCCCCATTGTCAGGAGAATTCTTAACCGATCAAAAGGTATATTTTTCCTGGAAGAGAAGCGTTGGGGCCGATCGTCGCCCAGAGTAGCCCCACAAGGAGATAGGCGGCAAATAAAATGTAACAAACAAACAAACAAACGATAATTAATTAATAAATAAACAAATTAACAAATAAATAAATACATTTCATTGCTAAACTACAGTAAACCTACCAATGATTTATCAAGGAAAGACTCCACTGGGTGTCTGCTCTAGTCCCACAACGAGATAGGTGGCAAATAAAATTTAACAATCAAACATAATGAATGAACGAATGAGTAAATAAATAAATAAATTTCGTTGCTAAACTACAGTAAACCTACCCATTATTTTTCAGGGAAAGACTCCACTGGGTGTCTGCTCAGGGTTAAGAATCTAGGATTTTAGGTGGACCTGCAAGTCTATAGGATTAGTTGGATTTTGATAGAAAGCAAAAATCAAGAAAGTGGGAGGCAAAAAGGTTAGGTACAGGGATACTGCTAGCTTGGAAATCTAAATCTAGCAACTTTTAACAGGTGTTGGGCCTGCTTCTTCCTGCTGGTGTGTACTGGTGTGTTGAGGACCCAGATCTTGTTCGTCTAGCCGCTTTTTCTTAAAGCAGGTTGTAATCGTGGTGCTATGTTTGTGTTAATTCAAACACATTAACCTAATGAATTCCAAAGCTTAGTTTCTACTGAATGCAGTTTCTCCCTCATTATAAGGTGTTGTGAGAAAAGTATGCCTCATGAATAATGCTCAAAGCTCAGGATTATCAAACCTTGAAATTAGATATGCAGCAATATGCAACTATTTGTATTAATATAATTATGACAGTGAAAGAACCAGTTTGGTGTATTGGTTATGGTCTAAGTTTTAGGCATTGGTTAAGGGTCCCTCTGGGAGGAAGATGGACGGTTTCTAAATATAAGTAAACAAAAATAAGGCATCAAGTTAATAACTAGACACAAAGCCGGCTGGGTGATCTTGGCCCAATCACTTTCCCACAGCTCTAGGAAAAAGATAACGGCAAGCCACTTAAGAAAACTATCCAAGAAAACTGCAGGACTTTTCCAAGTAGTTGCAAGGTATCAACACCGACTCAAAGGCCCGAATGTGTGCACACACACTTATAATAGTACAGCTAAATCTTGGATAGAAAACTCATGAGAAGAATTTGACATAGCCACATAGTCCCATTACAATTGCAGAAGGATCTCTGGCAGTATTTTTCCTCTCCATCCAAAGGAAGAAGAAATCGACTTTGGATCCGCTAGATCTTAACTCTGTTCCTCTGAGATAGTCTAGATTGAGTATATCATCAGGAAGCTATGATATCCCCTTCCCACATAAATCATGGTCCAGACGCAGCAGCATAGGCAGTTGCAGGCATGCCAAGATACACCCACATGATACCGTGATTGTCCGAAAACACGAACCACCCCAATAATAAGCCCAACTCTAATTTTTTGTGGGTGGGCCTAATATTACCTCTACCCCGAAAATGAGCCCAGCGGGATGGGTGTGGCCAGCATGAGTGGTGGTGTATGTGGGGGAGCAACTGTCTGGCTGCAGCTGCAGCCCACTGGCCCCTTGGGGCAACACAAATACCGCTTTTGCCCTTCTCTTTCTGGGCACAGCACTTCTGCTTCTTGGGCCGCTTCCGCGAAGCCAGCAGCTCTGTGGCCAGCTGCTTTGCTTTTCCCCTCTTTTTGGGAGGCGAACGGAAGGCTTTTTGGCAAACAGGAGGAAAATGAGGGAGATTTTCCTGCCTGCCATCCTTCCCTCAGCTTGAGGAATGGATGACAGGCAGGAAAATCTCCCTCCCCATTTTCCTCCTGTTTGCTAAAAAGCCTCCATTCTGAATGCTGAAGGTTTCGAATGGAGGCAACGGTGTGTCTATGGTATGTCCAGCTCACCGAGTCTGGCCTGCTGCACCTCAAAAAAAGTAAGACTGCCTAGAAAATAAGCCCAAGTGCTTATTTTCAAGTCTAAAAGAAAATAAGACTCAGTCTTATTTTCTGAGAAACACGGTACCTTTGCTTCATGAGCTGTATTGTTTACCAGTGGGCTTTTGGGTGCAATTCAAAGTGCTGGCCATCACCTATAAAGCCCTTCATGGAATAGGACCTGGCTATCTGATACAGCCAGCATGCTTTGGATGTTGCCAAGGGGACCCAGGAAAGAGGTCTTCTGGAATGACATCTCTCAAGGAGATGTATGGCCACCACCCTGACCCTATTTAAATGAGGCCTAAAAATTTATCTCTTCTCCCAAGTCTTGGGCTGGAGCACTTGGTGGACCTCTTGTGGAATGTTTGATCTGACAGTGTTCACATTCTTTTTCCAGACAATTGTTTTTGTAGGTTTTTTGCATTATTTTATTTTTAATAGTTTCATATTGTACACCGCCTAGAGTCGTGATGGAGTCAGGCAGCCTATAAAACAAATAACTTAATAATGTGGGGGATTTTAAAAGCAGGAGCACATGCATTAATGAGATTTATGAAGAAATGTGTGACTCACCTATTCAATCCCCTAGCTGCTTTAGGATTGATTTTAAGTGCAATTAAATGCAAAGTATGTTGCCATTGCATTAAAAAAATAATCCCATCTAAATAAATTACAATACTGAATTAATAAAAATAGAAGGTTGAATTTTAAATATGTTGGTACTTACTTAAAAATCAGAGCAGATGAAACTTGTAGCACTCAAAAGTACCACACTGTATTGTAATTTTCCTTTTTTAATTTAGAATTTTAGATAACACAAAATTATTTATAAAACAGTGAAAAGAAAAGCAGTAACATCAAAAAGATCGTCTGTAGATGTGGCAGATCTATGCAAATTTGATAGACTGAGTTCAGAAAATATAATCACTACCTCTGGTAACTCAGCACCGTATATGAAACTTCACGTTCACTTCTGAGTAAATATGCATAGGAGCAGATTGCCAGGTGTTACATCTATCAAGCAAAGAATATATTCAATACAAGTAGACGGGGTGAGGAACTGAACTGAAAATCCCAGTATAGTAAATCACTCTTGGTTAGCAATTTGGTTAAAAAAGAGAAGCATATGGAAAGCTACCAACCAATCAGCCTGATACAGACATGCAAATTAATACGATATTAAATAAATACAAATCACCCTTTCTTCTTTTATTTTGGAGAATTACTACAAATAACTACAAACAGATCTTGAAAAAAACCATGTGTATAAGATACTTTATTCAGAAAAAGCATTGCCAACATAACATGGATGTGTTTTGCTTCTGCTGTCAGGCATATTGTTTGCTAAATGATCAGTGTCCTTCAATAGATCTTAAGTTGTACACTTTTGGTATGAAGTATAAGATTGGACTAGGTCAGGGGGTGTCAAACTCAAGGTCCACAGGCCAGATTTGGCTTGCGATGTGGTTGGATCTAGCCTGCGGGGCTGTCCTGGTCTACCCAGTGCGAAGAGGAAAGATTGGGCCATCATAGCTTTGGCTGGTCTACCCAATGCAAAGAGGAAACAGGCCAGCAGTTTGGGGAGTGGCATCAAACTGGCCATGCCCACTCAGTTGGCCACACCCCACCCAGTTGGCCATGCCTGCCTGGCCCCCTGAGGTCAACCACAGCCTTGATGCGACCCTCAATGAAATTGAGTTTGATACTTCTGGACTAGGTATTTAAAATTTATAATTGATTCTGAAGATTTGTAGAGAGGGGATATTTATAAAATGTATAAATGCTGAGAGGAATAGCTAACACCAGGGACAAGAATTAAGATTCACAAGAAATATGATAAATAAAAACACTAGAGTAAACCTCTCCCAAATATTTTTTGTAGAATTAAGAATAAAGTCTTGTCCTCGGGTACCAAATAAATCTAAGAGACAATTATTTGATGGGAAAGAGCTCACATGCCCCAATTTATATATTAAAAAAATCATGAGAGCCAATTTGGTATATTGGTTAAGGTGCTAGCCTAGAAACCAGGAGACTGTGAGTTCTAGTTGCCTATTGGGCATAAAAAAGCAGGCCAATCACCCTCTCTCGCCCCAATTCATCTCACAAGACTTTTGTGGGGAAAATAGGAGGGGGAAGAAATAATTAGATATGTTTGCTGCCTTGAATTCTTTATGAGAAAAAGGCAGAATAAAAAACTCTAAAACACAACAACATGTAGATGACACAGGATTGTAAACTTAATATGTGCCAGTAAATGTAAAGCAGTTTTAAACTGCTTGAAGATACATATCCTCTGTTCTGGACAAAGTAACTGTGGAGTGTTGTGTCCAATTATTGTATCACAATTTTAGAAAGGATATTGAGAACCACTCATATCCAGAGAAATTCTGGATGGTGAGGGATCTAGAGACCAGTTTGGTCTAGTAGTGGTTAAGGTGCCAAGCTAGAAAACAGGAAACTGAGTTTTAATCTCACTTTAGGCATTAAAATAAACTGGATGATTTTGAGCCAGTCATTCCCTCTCAGCCCAACCCATATCACAAGGTTGTTGTTGTGAAGAAATAAGAGGAGGAAGGAACATTATGTATGTTCACCACCTTGAATTATTTATAAAGTCTTATGAAGCAATACTTATAAATGATAAAAATCTAATCTAAAAACCAATTTGTATGAGAAGCTATTGACATCGTTGCTTATGTCTAGCCTGGAAAAGAGTAGGCTTAGGAAGTTATGACAACACACTTCCAATACTTTGGAGTATTCCTCGATC